GTCAATGCCTGCGAGGGACCTGGGTTCGATCCCTCGCAAACGCACTACGGGTCATGCCGCGTGCGGGGTAAAAAGGGTGTATAATTCCTCGTAAGTCGAGGTCGTCGCCGCCTCCCAGGGGCCGCCGTGCGGTTTGGCACCCGCGCTCCGGCGACCATCGCCAGGTATAGGAGTCCCACGTCTCCAGCTGATGAGCGTGGTGTCCTCAGATTGTTCATCCTTCAACTAGTAGTACTACTACTAGGTAGAAGGTCGCCTACACACAGACTTTGGGGGCGCTTTGTTAGGCCTCACCTCTCAGCCATGGGGGCTATGTCCAGGTTTGTCGGGGTTGTCGTCTCCACCAAGATGCAGAAGTCGGTGACGGTGAAGGTCGATCACTTCTTCCGGCACCCGCGCTACCACCGCTTTGTGCGCGCCTCCCGGAAGTTCATGGCGCACGACGAGCTGCAGGCTTGCAACGAGGGCGATCAGGTGAAGAGAATGAACCTTTGCGACTGCAGCTTGCGTTTATCGTCCGCGGCATTACCCTCTATTTGGTGGACAGGGTGGTGCATCCGCCTGCTCAACCAAACTTGGTTAAGTGCTTGATAGACACCACGTCTGGTGCTACCCCGGGGCTTTCACTACGCTCACGGCTTCTTTAGATTCACCATCGACCAGGATCTGGAAGAATGTGGTGATTCCGTACTCTGTGGAGTGGCAGGAGAGTTGGATTGTGTGAATGCGTTTTAGCGTCGCGGCTGTGGCCTTACAGTGTAGGTGCACAAAGCTTTACAAAATTGCAGTTGACCAGGAGCACTGGTTAGTGGTTCCTCCAAAGGATAGCGTTGCTCAGACCATGCTGCAAACGCCGGCGTGATATATCTGCGAATTGTTACACCACAACATTGCATTGAGCACCAGTACGATCGGTGGTAATCCAGGCAGTTCTGAGCAATTCGCCTTCTGTCATTGCTGCTGATGGAGAGAAGTGCACATTGCTGGGTTCAATCGGTGGTGTCAATGAATCTGCTTACTGTTTGGTCGAGTAGTCGTGATTGGTACGGATGAGCACCTTGTCAGTGGTGAATGTGGTCAAGCGCCCTTCCATCAGAAAAGTTCAAGTGGTATCCTTTCTTTTGACTGAGGGCACAAAGCTGGTGGTCAAAGGCAAGACAAGGGGTTGCCAGAAAGCAAGGACTTTCTGTGGTTAGGACCGATAGACTCCTGCGGTTTCGGGCAAGAGGCTCAAGGGAGGTACTCCTATCCTTAGGACAAAGGCTCTGCACTTTCATTTGAACATAGTCACCAGCAAACATAACACATAATAAGAGCCAATCACACATTTTGTACTCAAGCATGGGCGATTTGTACTGTTCCAGGTCCAGATTGAGTCGTCGCGGCCCATCAGCAAGAACAAGGCCTGGGTGGTCTCGGAGATCCTCAAGAAGGAGCGCATCTTCGACACTTCTGATTACGCAGCGGAGCGGGCGGCCGCGCAGGCGGTATCCCTTCCGCTCACTCCAAAGCCGGTCGTTGTGAGCACTCGCTACCTTATTTTCTTCTTCGAAGCAACCTTCCTCTGGACTGGGGGATCTTGAGATTGAAAAATATGAAGAGCGAACCTCTTAACTGTGTTGAAGGGTGGCTCAAGATCATCAGGCAGGCCCAAACACCAAAACGGCGCCACATTGTTCTTGCAGCCTTTCGAGAGTAGTTCCTCGCTTGCAAATGCTTGGATTGCAAGCCTCCTCGAAGGCGCATCAAATCCAACCATGTGCTCCATAGATTGTGCAGGGTTTTCGGACCATGCGCCACATCATTCCTGCAGACTTTCTATATTAGTTCCTTGTCCCGGAATGCAGATTTCTTCAAAGGCGTGTCAATCTCAACCATGTGCTTCGTTGATCGTGCAGGGTTTCCGGACGGAGTTCCTCACGAGGGGGGCAGAGGTACAGGGCATGTTTTGGGGCATGCACTGGCGGGGTGCGGTGGTAGACCTCGGGATCGGCCTTCCAGGGATTGTCAGGCCCCCAGACAATCCGGAAGCAGCGGACGGGTGGTGGAAAGCGATGGAAGGCGCAGTCAAAGGGGAGGTGATCAAGGTAGGAGGCAGCTTGCTATTCCCGTCTGGTCGGAGTCGCCCGTCTTTGTCTGCAGTGCTATGCGTTTGATTGAGGATTCTTCAAGTTTAGGTTCTTCAGGTTTCTTCAGGCCAAAAGTTTCTCGAGTCCGGTCCGGACTTCGACAATTCCGTCTGGTGTCTCTAAGTCTCCTTCGAGGCTCTGGAAATGGTTTTCGTTTGCTTCTCAACGCCGCTCCCTGCGCTGTGAGCGTTTGAGCTTCTGCAACTCCCATGCAGCCTGTTGACCAGAGGCAACATGGTTCAGGGCCCCCACATCAAAAGCTTTGCAGAAACCTCGTCTAAACCAGAAGCGAGCCGGGACAAACTCGGCGGGTGCGGCTGCAGGGTCCATCTAGCTGTTGGTAAAACCGAGTGAGTGCTGACGAGTCGTTATATGCAAGTTCAAGTAGGGGATCCTGGGACTTCTCCTTAACTCCACCGTTTTCGTGGTGAGCAATCTGTGAGGGCCTGCAAAGAGCACCGATGATAAGTTCCTCGATTGCAGGTTCGAGTAGAGGGATCCCTGGACCCCGCCTGCGGCCTGGTCAACCTTTCGTTCCTGGAGCGGCTTTCGACGTCGGAGAAACGAGTGGAGATACCCGACGCAGCCCAGCGCGACGAGTACCTGCGCAAGATGGTCGCCCAAGCCTGGCGTGAGGTAAGGGAGCGCGGTGTTGCGGTTTTGTGTAATCTTGACCTTCAACTCGAATCTAGGTTGGCTTGCGCTCAAAATCTTTCTACGTTTCAAATCTTTCGTGGTGCTCCAATGGATCTCTTGTAGCAATGTGGAGTGAAGTTGGTCTAGAGGCTGGATGCGGTCGTGACCTTCAGTCGCTGAGTGAGTGGCTGAGCAATGCGGAGTGAGGCTGTAAGTTCGTAGTGCGCAAAATAATGGGGCGACGAGGTTCCCAACCAGGTAGTCTGGTCAATTGTCAGGCGTACAACTGGCCACGCTGTAAGGCGTTTTTTGAGATCAGTTGTGCGTGCAGCATGTTTCTGCACCCTGAAGTTTTCTATGTCGTGCCCCGCTTTGTTCGTCGGAGTCCGCCGAACTCTGTTAAGCGCTTGTTGGCGTGCGTCTTTCTGAGTGGCATGCGTTTTTGAAAGGACGACAGAAGGTCTGCAAACATGATCCTCCATTTCCTGACTCAAGATACCCGAAATGGAGGGCGGCTGGGTCATGTTAGTCGTCATTCTGGTTGTAGCCAACACATTACAGAGGCCAAGACATTAGTTTTGCTGAGTCTCTACCAGTTGCGGCAGAACGAACCATACAAGAACAGCAGAATGAGGGCCGAAGGCGACTTCAATAACGCGACAACAGATATACTTCCAGGATGGCCGGCAAAGGAATCATCAGCCTGAAACTGACTATGAGGCAGAGCACCGACTTGGAATCTGCACAGACGTTTTTACGTTCAACGCACAATCTCTTGCGCAGGCACTGGCGCCGCCCAAGACGGGCCCGCCCCCAACCCCCAAAAAGTCGGACGAGGCCAAGGTTCGGCGGGTCAGCCAAATCGGACGCCTACTGGTCGGAAAGCTGTCCGAAGTTGGTCCTGACGGCGCAGTGGTCGATCTCGGACAGGCCTGGAAGGGCTTCATTCCCGCCCATATGTTTTCGTGGTCTCCTCCCGAGGGGGGATCCGACGAGCCTTCGACAAGTGGGCGAGAAGAAGGGAAGAACGGGGCAAGTGCGGAGCGGAAGGGTTTGACGGGAGGGTTTGATGGGGAGGCGCCGCGAGCGAGGGAGGAACTTGAGAGGACACTGTATGCTGTGAAGCTCAAGGTGAGTCAGTACTGCGCAAACTGCGACTTGGAAGGTGGTAAAGTTTTGAAGTCGCTCGAGGTGAGTCGGTTGTGGACGTATGCGAGTTGAGGCCACGAGTAGCAAGCGGCAGAAGATGTGCAGCAAAAGAGAGAGTTCGCTTGGGTTACCGGATTTGGCTGCCGAAATAGCGCATCAGTCGGCGGCAGCTCTTTTCTTCTCGGTCCTTGTTTGAGTGAACAAACAGATCACTGTATTTTCCTCCTGCGACCCTACTATTAATAATCTGGTGGCCTCGAAGTTTGTTGAGCCGAAGAGATCTGTTTGAATTCACTATTTTCTTTTTGTTTGCTTAAAAGCGCGAGTCTTAAAGACGAAGTCTTGAGAAACGGCTAAAGCCAGGAACAGAAATTGCTGACATAAGCCCTCGGTAAAAGACTCATCACCACCTCGTGAGGATCTGGGCAAGGATTCAGGGTTTCTTTGGTTTGTTCTTCGATAAGTATCAGCGAGTGGCTTCTTTCTCGTAAACGATCATCAAGTGGCCAGGCCGCTGATCCTCTGTCAATCTCCTGAATCCAAAGTCCGAATCTGGATCTGTGCAGGTTCGCGTAACAGGTATCCTGCCGGAGAAGCAGCAAGTGGTCCTGTCATTAGTTGGGCGGGCCACTCCCGAGACGCGGACGGAATCGAAGATGCTTGCGGCATGCAACGGGTTTCCTTGGGCTGGGAGCGATTGGGACACGACGCGAAAAGAGCTGCTCGCAAAGCACCGGGGGGATGCCGCTGCTGCGGCGGCTGAATATGCGGGAAAGACGGGAGTAGCGGGAGGTAGAGAGCAGGGGCGAGAAGGTCGTATGGAAACGGAGAGTAGGCCTAGCTTGTAGGTAATTGGATGGGCGTCGGTAGATTAAATAGGGCTTTGGGATGAGATAGGGAGAGAAGAATGCGTACGCGAGCGGTCAAACTTGTCGCTTTGTCTTGCGCATACAGGCACGCGGCTCAGGAGGGAACGCAAAAGTAGAGACTCTTACAGGAATCACGAAGAGAGCAAGGTTGTATTCCATGTCGTGGCTGTTATCATCAAACCCCAAGCTTAATGCCTTCGTTAGGGCTTACCAATTACTCTTTTTGAAATGTTGAAGAGTATGAGAGAACATCGAAGTCCAGCCGCTTCTCCAGAGCATGAGCAATTGGGCTGTATACACGTGCGTAATCAGTATCAGTATTGTTGAGGACGCCGAGTCATTGACGTGGCTCGCTTGCCAAGACTGCCAAGACCAGAATCATATTTCAATGTGCCATTATGTGAGTGACTCCCTGGGGCTTCCCTATGCGGCAGAGCCTACAGGTAGATGCAGCCAGCTGAGGCTTGATCCTCCGAACAGATTTCAACCAGTTGAATTGTGAGCACTGAGCGGATGTATTCACCAGCTGGCGTCTGGATTCCGCTGCAATGGCGCGTCGTGACGCGTTCGGTCTCCCTGCCGCGAGCTCGCGTCTAACCGACTCTAGCTGGCGGGTTTGCCTTGACCGGGGGCTGCTGCCGGGCTAAGGGGAATCGAACGGTTGGGGTGTCGTGTGCTCGATCGGACGGTTCTTATATCCGTAGCCGCAGATTCGTCGCGCCAGCATTTGTTTTTTGGCGGGAAGACTGCATGTGGACTCTCAGGCTGGAGTACTACAACCTCAGGCTGTGCTGGCAGGTAGGTAGGTAGTAGGTAGCGTAGTGGTAGGTACACAATTTGCTCAACCTGCCATGTACTTAGGTATGCAAGCCTTCAGATGATCTTGGGCTTTAGCCAGATTGAATCTGCAGGAAGGGCGTCACCCTTGAGTCCTTCCCTCCATGTTTCTTTTCCCCACTGTTGAGGATGGCAGGACTGTCAGGACCACTGACTGAAACGCGCGCACAGAAGGTACTTTTCTTTGTCGACACCAATGCAGCTCTCCTGCAGTCGCCGAGCATTGCTGGCCAGATCAGCAGTGCAATAGACAGGGTCCTGTGGGGTTTCACTGACGTGAGCAGGAGAGTATGGTGGGGGTCCAAGTTCATTGACAGCAGCGTGAGTTCCGTCTGCTATGAGCGAAGGCTACGGGAATGCAACAATGAGCTCAAGCGGGTAGCTCTACAAACACCCACATTTCGCCCACTCATCCCAGAGCCCAAGCCCATTCTGAAGGATGAGTCTGGAAGGGTTCTAGTAGAGTCTTTGCAAGTAAAGGAAGATACTAGTGCCCCCTATGAGAGCTTCCACCAGGCAGTTAGAGAGCTTACACCACCAATCCAAGCAGTGAGCGAATCACATTCATGGCCTTCGAAGTGGAAGCATATCAGTGCCCCAATCAGGGAAGCCCTCTTAGTCTTCCCATGGGACACCGACGAGTTTCCGGAAAGCCCCCCTCAAACACACGATGGGGAATCTTCTGTAACTGTCAGTCTAGGAGAGCAGACGTCCCTCAAGGAAGACCTCATACTGATCTTCACAGCTTTGCCAGCCACTCCTGCTGCTTCGCAGTCTTTCGTTGGAGGTTCGCCGGATAACCCAGGGGAAGAAAGAGAGTACCGGAAAACTCTTGGGGCTTTGAAAGAGGCTGCGAAGCTGCGCGGTATTCAGCTCCTTATTGTGAACACAGCGGTGGCACATGGAGAGGGGCATGGCAAAACGGCGGAGGATGCAGGCATAGACAACTTAGAGTCGGTGACACAAGGTGCGGGGATCTGGACGATTCCCCTACAGGCACTTGCTTTCGGTGGTGACATTGCCCCCGCTTCTGCCACCCTGCCCGCTCTCTTTGGCCTTCCAGTCAAGCCTGTAGCAGAGTCCCCAGTCTGTAATGCTTTCTTTGGTGAAATATCAACCCAGCTCTTTCAGCAGCTTCCAAACAGCAGTCCGAAGCCACCCCCCGCTCTTGCGGTCTTCGGCCCAAGTGCCACAGTTGCTCTCCTCCGCACGTCGGCTTCCTGTGAGAAGTGGTATCAAGCTCCAAGGAAGGATCTGGATCGGCAGGAGCGATACGCCCTCAGAAGCGTAGGTGGAGGCCAAGCTGCTGCTGACTTTGCAGACGTTCTCTGCCAGCTAAATGATCACCACAGCGTCCTCTTCCTCAAGGTTGAGGACGAGGCGTTTGCCTTTGAAGCCATTTTGGAGCCCTGCAGTCCTTCGTGTGCAACGTTGACCCTGCGCCACGACAAGCGCTTGGGCTGGGCGCAGATGCAGCTTGGATTTCTCCCAGAGAGCGCCTGGAAAGCGGACTCCTGCCAACTTGTCGACGCGGTCGCTGAGAAGATCCGCAGGATGCATGTGGCCTATAAAGCCCAGTTTGAGCTAGAGCGGAAGTTGGCGGCGCTTCCAGGCAAAGATTGCTCCGAAGCTCCGGAAGAGGCCCCCCGAGAGCAGGTGGTGGAGCGCAGGGCAGAGCTCCCCCAGACTCAGAAGCTGCCGCTTGCTGCGGAAATTTTGTTGCCTGGCCATCGGTGGGGGGGGAAAGAGGCAGACTACTGGCAGAGTGGGGGAGGCAAGAAGCACTCACAGCGCAGGCGGTCAAAGGAACGTGCAGAGGGGTCTAAAGGATCGCACAGACGATCGAGGGAGGGTACGGATACGGCTGGGAGATCCCAGCGGAGGCGGAAGAGTGAGTTGGTGGAGGGAGCGGAGAAAGTGGAAGGAGTGGAGAAGGGGGAAGAGGCACTGAGGCCTCAGGAAGAGGAGGCGGAGTCTGGACGAAAGGAAGGCCCTCAGAGGTCTGAGAACAAGAGCGCCTCGGCAGGGCAAAGTAAGTGGAAGGCTGAGGTGTCCTGCATTGCAAGCAGGGACTGTCCTTAATTGTGATTTTGCTAGGTGAATGTTCCCCTGGCAAAATCACCTGTTCTCTTACCTGTTGCACGTCATGACGCGGAGGGGGGTTGCTTTGGCTGCCAACTTTATGACGGTGTTGACAAAATCCTTTTATACAGTGCGTTCAGTGGATGCCCCCCATGTCCGCCAAGCTTGCAGAGTGCTTGGCCTGCAAAGAGTCATGGTCCACTTTAAATTGTCTGTAGAAACCTTGTGAACCGCATGCTCTTGATGTCCACACCCCCAGAACAACTGGACATCCTCAGGCTTCCACCTGTCGCCCCACTCCTACGCGCAGCATCGTCCGATTTTCTCCTCGTTTCCTTCACAGAGGTGGCCAGACCAGTTCCCAGCAGCTTCAAGTCCCGCGTCGGCGGGCGCCAGGTGGCGGCTCTCCTCGGCCAGCAAGCTGTCGGAGGGACCGCCGCACCCTCCCAGGTGCCCAAGGCCCCCCCGGCGAGACCCCCTCGGCTTCCTGCGGGTCCCGCAGCGAGGCAGCCCGGATCGGGCACCAGGCCGCTTGCTGACGTCAGCACACACGAGCGGATGCGTCATGCACCCCCCGCCAGCGGCAGGGGCCTTCCCTCAGCAGCGCAGGAAGATTTGCAAGCGAGGCAGCCGGGATCGGGCAGGCCGCTCGCTGACGTCAGCAGACG